AATGGCTCAGTCAGAATCAGTGCCTCTCTGTAACACCACGGGCCAAGGTCACCAAGGTCACCTTAAAAAAGTTGTGCTCTTATGACTATGATAATCTGTGTAGGCTACTTTAAGGGCAGATAACTACTTGGAAAAGAAGTTCAGGAAAAATGATGTGGCTTACGAGAATACTGTCTGCCATAAACTAAGCTCTCCTGTGGTTTACAGTCCCACACTGCATGCTCATACCAATCTTCATGATAACCTCAAGGTGCTTCATTTCCAAGTCCAACACACTTAAATGAATATTGGAAGGTACATACGTCAATGATAGGCCAAACAAACAAATCAACCATAAACTTGATTCTGGCCTTAAATGACGAAAACATAAGAATAAATCCAAAATGTTAAGTGGACAAGGATCTAAAAGGTGAGAAGGAGGATCTCATTTATTTTGTCCATATCAACACTATTTTAAGTGCATTTCACTACACTTTCAGCATACATAGGAAATACAGTACAGTCTAAAAATTTCTTCTTTATACTAAAAAGCATACTAGGCCCTCCCTGTTGGCACAGCAGGTTAAAGCACAGCACTAAGAAGCTAAAGCCACTTCGGCATGAGTTCGATCCCTGCCCCAGAGGTGACCCACATGGCGTGGCAGACCTCTCCTGGCCCACCACTGCTCCACTTAGCAGTCAGTGTACTTTGTCAGTTGGCTTATTCTGCTCCTCACTCTGTCTCTGGTGAATCCTCTCACCATCCCTGCACCTCTGGTCTGTACCCCAGATCTGTATGTATAAACAAATCTTTAAAAAAATTATTAAAAAAAGGGTACTAACCATCACATGCAAATTTTTAAGAGAGTGTACATGCACTCCCACACACACACAAAACAAAACCCTATCACCAAAAAGTACCAAGGTAAGAAAGCATGAGTTTTCTTTAAAATGTAGTTTTGAGGAAAGGGGTTTACAAATCCTAAGTCTAAATTTCACTTAGTTAACATTCAACAAATATTGTTATAAGGTACTTACAATCTTGTTTCCCTGTTCTGTGAAAGCCCTGTCTCTGAAATCTAAAGAAGTGAAATCATAATTTAGCATAAAGGTTTACAAGCAGATATTCATAGCAGCATTATTCATAATGCCCAACAAGTGGCAATGATGGAAATGTTCAGAAGGTAAAGAGCAAGACACAATGTTGTATATCCATAAAATGGAATAGAGTAATTTAACAGTACACAAAATGATACACTATCGACATGAGCTACCTCATAGATGAAACTCAAAAATATGATGTGAAGTGAAAGAAACCAGATACAAAAGACCTCATAGCATAGGATTCTGTTTATATGAAATGTCCAGAAAAGACAAATTATAGAGATGGAAAGTAGTGACTAGCTGGGGCTGGCATAGTGGACTGAGGGAGGGAATAGGGATTAACTATAAATGGGGTCAAGTGATCTTATGCGGGAAATGATCTAAAATTAGGTTGGGTGATGATGTGTCACTTGGTGCAGTTACTAAGAGGCACTGAATTATACACATGAAATGGGATGGTTTCATATGTAAAATATTATCTCAACAACCTTTCTTTAAAAAAAAAATCTGTCTTGGAAAATCATGTCCAGTCATAGCAAACATGAAGTGACCAATGAGAGCAGGCAAATTAGTTTACCCTAAGGAGGTTGCTTCATTGTTTTCTGGGCTTCTCTTTTAAGGGTAATTAAACTTAAATTTGGATAAAAAAATTCTTTAAGGAGAAAGAGGCTGTGGAGGAGTCTGTGTTATATACCCTTTGAACATCTGTTAAATTTAATTAAAGTATTCCCTTGTGTGCATATACCACAATTTCTTGATCTACATCTTTGTCCTTAGGCACTTAGGTTGTCTCTCCATAACTAAGTTTTTGTAATTAGAACCATTATCTATCTATCTAT